AAAAAAAAAAAAAAAAAGTAAAAGGACAAACAAGAAGGCACCACGGAACCCAGTAAGAACCAAGGGCGATATCCACAGGATCAGCGATTTACACACTACCATCTACATTCCCTTGGGGCCTCTGGGAGGTATCTGTGGAGGGACTGGCCAGGACGAAGGGACAGTTTAAGCCACATGGAAGAACAAGGTTAACTGACCCCTCAAGGACTGAACCAACCACCTACCATAACCAGTCTTCAAGGATGGCTACATCGAAGCCTCTGGACTTCAGCACCAGAGATTTCTAGTTTGAAGGTTAAGACATCAGCTACTTCCAATGAAAGTCTGAAACCTCAGTTTCAACCCAATTTGATTTTGCTTAGTTGGCAGCTTTTCTGCTTATGTGGCAAGGAGCGTACTGGCAGAGGTACAGAAACTACTCTTTTTCCTAAGCAGGAAGGAACGCTTTAAGGAGAATGCTTTCAACTACTGAGCCAAGTCTTCCTTATGCATGAAGTGACCATGTTTAATATAATCTTTGGTGTCCTCAACTTTGCCCATTAGAATCGCCTGGAGAGGCCGGGCTCAGTAGCTCAGCCTGTAATCCCAGCACTTTGGGAGGCTGAGGTGAGTGGATTGCCTGAGCCCGTGGGTTTGAGACCCGCCTGGGCAACTTGGCGAGACCTCATCTCTACAATAAAGCAAAATGAGCCGGGCGTGGTAACGTGTGCCTGTAGTTCCAGCTACTTAGAAGACTGAGGCCGAAGGATCGCCGGAGCCCAGCAGATCGAGGCTGCGGTGCCAGGAGCGGCCACTGCCCTCCAGTCTGGGCCACAGAGTGAGACTCCAACTCAAAAAGAAAGAAAAAAAAAAAGAATCGCCTGGAGAGCTTTAAAATTCCTAAACCCCACAGAATTCAGATTTCCGCTTGTGCAGGGTGGGACACAGGCACTGAAATGAAAACAAAGAAACAGACAACAAAGTAAAACAAAGCAAAACCACCAAAAAACTCATGAGGGGGGCCTACTGTGCAGCCAGGGCTGAAAACCAGTGGTCCGAGTCTGTGCGGCTCATGCCCGAACTCAGCACACTGAGAGACAGAGGCGAGAGGACTGCCTGAGCCCAGGGGTACGAGACCAGCTTGGGCAACTTGGCGAGACCTCATCTCTACAATAAGTCAAAAAATTAGCCAGGTGTGGTGGCACCTGCCTGTAGTCCCAGCAACTTGGAAGGCTGAGGCAGAAGGATCTCCTGAGTCCAGCAGGTCGAGGGTGCGGTGGCCATGAGCATGCCACTGCACTCCAGCCTGGGCGACACAGTGAGACTCCGACTCAAAAAAGAAAACCACTAATCTGGTTGAATCATATGAAATTACTAGCACAAAAATGCCAGTATGATATGGTATGACCTAATAAAAGAATAAAGGAAAAAACTTGCGAGGAAAAAGTCATAAGTGTTGAGATGGGTGTCTATCTGTAAATATACCTGTATTTGCCTCTAAATGTGTGTTATATATATAGTTATACATATAGGAATTTCTCAATTTTGCACCTTGCTTAATGGGTGTAGATGCCAAAAGAATAAAAAACCCATAAATTGGAACTTCTGGGCCATGGAAACAGAACGCGGAAAATCAAATTATGTCTAAATGACTTACTTGATCCCCATAAGCATGGCGACCTATGATGATGGGCTTTACCCACCCACTCACAAGCCGGGGGATGTTTTTACAGATAATGGCTTCCCTGAAGACAGTGCCACCCAGAATGTTTCGGATGGTGCCGTTCGGCGATTTCCACATGTGTTTCAGCTTGAACTCCTCAACCCTCTTCTCATCGGGGGTGATAGTCGCACACTTGACACCAACGTTGTACTTCTTTATAGCTTCTGCCGCCTCCTTGGTGACTTGGTCACTGGTGGCATCACGATTCTCTATGCCTAAGTCATAGCTTGGGAGAGAAAAATCAGAAGCGCAACTTTTCAGGCAAACCAGTAAGTTATAAACTCTGAGCACAGTTATGGCATGCAGAGTTCAAGGTGCATAAAGTGAAGGCTCTCAATACACTGCAATCAGCCAAGTTTTAGCACTCACGCACCCTAAACACAGAAGATGGCTGCCAGAGGAACTAAGAGAGGCTGGATGGCTGGGCCACGCCTCTTCACACTGCAGTAAAAGACTGCCTAGCAAGAGCCTGAATGGAAATCATCGAACTCTGCCCTTTGCCTCTGGTGTTTCATCATATAGACAATATAGCCCAAGAACAACCCTTTGGCCTGGTCTCCCTCCATATAACTAGCACAATGAGGTGTAAGCCTCAGTACCACCTTCATTTTCCCTCAGCAAAGATTGTGCTTTAAAAATAAAGACAGGGGCCAGGCACGGTGGCTCAAGTCTGTAATCCCAGCACTTTGGGGGATGGCGGTGAGAGGACTGTTTTTGAGTCTAGGGGTTCAAGACCAGCCTAGGCAACTGGTGACACCTCGTCTCTACAATAAATCAAAAAACTAGCCAGGTGTGGTGGTGTGTGCCTATTGTTGCAGCTACCTGGAGGGTTGAGGCCGAAGGACTGCCTGAGTCTACAGGTCGGGGCTGCGGTGGCCGCGAGCGTGTCACAGCACCCCAGCCTGGGCAACAGAGTGAGACTCCGACTCAGAAAACGAAAGTAAAAAAATAAAAATAAAGAGGGAGGGCTTAAAGAATTTCTTGTATTTTGGCATTAAAGTGGCAGGAGGTATAGATGTGACAGCCGATGTCAAAAATGCGTGATGTCGGGGTTATTTTTTTTATTTTTGTAGAGACAAGGTCTCACTACGTTGGCCAGACTTGTCTCCAACTCCTGGGCTTAAGCAATCCTCTTGCCTCGGCCTCCCTAAGTGCAGGGATTTCAGGTGAGCCACCGTGCCCGGTCTAGATAATTTACATAAATCGAACAAAGTCATAGCCTCTCTTATCCTCTTGCACAGGAAATGCTGAATATTTACAAATGTCTAATACCGACTCTAACAAGAAGTGAGGCTAGCAGTGCTCATGTTGCTGGGAACCATTTCTCACCAGAAGAATCTACAGCAAATTACTGGCTGTTATTCCTCTTAACATTTGAGGAAAGAAGGAATAAATTGTCTGGACCACTGTCTATCCTAGGTAAAACAAATTACTTCACTCCCCTCAAAAATAAACAGTCATATAATAACAGGCCAGGTGTGGTGGGCGTGGTGGCTCATGCCTGTAATCCCAGCACTTTGGGAGGCGGAGGTGAGAGGATTGCCTGAGCCCAGGGGTTTGAGACCAGCCTGGGCAAGTTGGCAAGACCTCATCTCTACAATAAATCAAAAAATTAGCGGAGTGTGGTGGCACATGCCTGTAGTTCTGGCTACTTGGAAGGCTGAGGTGGAAGGATCGCCTGAGCCTAGCAGGTCAACGCTGCGGTGGCCATGAACATGCCACTGCCCTCCAGCCTGCGTGACAGTGAGACTCTGACTCAGAAAACAAACACAACCACCAATAACAACATTGCAACAACTTCAGACTTGTTTGAGCCTTCAAAAATTCTTTAGTCTGCAGCCTCTGACGCTTTTCCTCCCAGGGATAGTGACTCCCCCTTTAAAACTCCTTATGCTTCTAGGCTAAGAAGATGCAAAGCATCTTTGCAGCCATGATACCAGCAAGAATCCAGCAAGTTTACTTATTGTCATGTAAAGTTCTGAAACAGGAGAGAGTTCCTAAATGCTTCTTGGAAGACTATGCCTCACTTCCTATGCCTGGGTGACCTCTGCAAGTATTTACATCCTATTATGGTCGCAAGACAGACATTATTAACAGCTCAGGTGTTTGATGACCCTATGTCAACTAAATGTCTCCATGCAAGCAAATAAAGGTCCTCAGGACACATTCTGGGGAATAACTTTGGGTTGTGGCAAACATACTTAGGCGTTGCCAACAGTTTGGCTGAAATGCGTTGTTGCTCAACATTGGAACACGCCGGCCTTCAGCTGCTCTACTCTTTTAACGATTGTCTCTGCCTAGCTCAAAGGTATAAATGGCAGGAACAAGTTTATGAAAATCACAAGGAAAAAACGAAAGTACTACACAGACTTTTACATCGGCACCCAGACACTTTAAACACAGGGCAAAGGGACACATGATTTAGTGGAACGTCTGCTGGGATGCAAGGGTTCAGTTAAGTAACTTCAAGGGTTCTTTCTGTGCTACAATTGTATGTAAAGGGCAAAGGCAAGACACGAAAAGCGAAAAAGGCCCATTAAGTCGAGTGACAGAAAACTGAGCTTCAAAGGACAAAACTGTGCTGACAACAAAACTGTGTTTAGTTGATGGCTGCTTTTATCCCTGTTATTTTCTCTTTCACAGATAATGTATCCTGCATCCTGTTACTTTCGGCCACTGCTTTATAGCAAATAAAACCTTTACTGGAAACAAACGGCTACAAGTACCCAAACTCACACTGTTCCCTTGATAATTTTTTTTTTTTTTGAGTTGAAATCTCATTCCGTCGCCCAGGCTGGAGTGCAGGGGCATGCTCACGGCCACCCCAGCGTCGACCGGCTGGGCTCCAGCGATCCTTCCGCCTCAGCCTTCCAAGTAGCTGGAACTACAGGCGTGTGCTACTACGCCCCGCAAATTTTTTGATTTATTGTAGAAACAAAGTCTCGCCAAGTTGCCCAGGCTGGTCTCAGACCCCTGGGCTCAGGCAATCTTCTCACCTCGGCCTCCCAAAGTGCTGGGATGACAGGCTTGAGCCACCACATCCAGCCTATAACATTTTTGAGTTGGAGTCTCACTCTTTCATCCAGGCTGGAGTGCAGTGGCATGCTCACGGCCACTGCAGCCTTGACCTGTTGGGCTCAAGCGATCCTCCTGCCTCAGCCTTTCAAGTAGCTGGAACCACAGGTGTGTACCACCATGCCAGGCTAGTTTTTTGATTCACTGTAGAGACAAGGTCTCACCATGTTGCCCAGGCTGGTCTTGAACCCATAGGCTCAGGTAATCCTCTCGCCTCTGCTTCCCAAAGTGCTGGGATGACCGGCGTGAGCCTCCGTGCCTGGCCCCTTTATAATTCTTGACTTCTAAATAACGATAAATCCAATTTTCCTGGCTATATGTTAAAATTAAAATGGAAGAGTCAACACAGCTACATCTGTGTAATGAAACCAGCTGCACCTTGAAATGATTAAGATTATACTTTACTTATCTATTTATTGAGAAATTGGACTTGAACTCCTAGTCTTTTTTTTATTTTAAATATGGAGTGCAATTCAGGATTAGGTATACAAGTGGTCATCCTACAGGGAAAGTTTGGGTCTCCCTTTAGTTCCCGCTTTGCCTGGTTTGAGATTAGGAATGCTGATTGATGCTAAGGAACTCCTAGTCTTAAGGAATCCTTCCACCTCTGGGATAGCTGGGACTACAGGGGTGTGCCACACCTGGCCAGATGATGCTTTCAGAGTCTGCGGTAGGAGGGGTAATTGATTTACCTGTGGAGATCCAGTTCCACATAGGGAAAAATGAGTTTTTCCTTAATCAAGTCCCAAATGATTCGTGTCATTTCATCTCCTTGCATCTCTACCACAGAACCGCCATTGATTTTTTTAGACATTTTGACTTCAATAAACCTAAAAAGAAAAAAGATAAAACATACGCCTTGTCATTTATTTCATTATAAAGTAGAAACAAAATGTAAACAATTTGGTGACTACCAAAAGGACAATTTGTAATAGCACAAGTTCATAAAAAGCAAGTAACAACATTGTATTTCTCATTAGAATTGAGCACCTTCTCTGTATAAAGCATTGTTATGTTTCACATGTGGTTTCTGAGTCAGCCCTCAGAACAATCCTCTAGAATAGAATTTATCCATTTTACTTTTTGTTTTTTAATATATTCTTCTTTTAAAAAATAGCTTTCTTTTTTTTTTTTTGAGTTGGAGTCTCACTCTGTCGCCCAGGCTGGAGTGCAGTGGCCGCTCCCGGCCACCGCAGCCTCGACCTGCTGGGCTCCGGCGATCCTTCCGCCTCAGCCTTCCAAGTAGCTGGAATTACAGGCGTGCGCTACCACGCTCGGCTAATTTTTTGATTTATTGTAGAGATGTCTCACCAAGTTGCCCAGGCGGGTTTCGAACCCGTGGGCTCAGGCAATCCACTCACCTCAGCCTCCCAAAGGCGCAGGATTACAGGCTGAGCCACTGAGCTCAGCTAAAAATAGCTTTCCTAAGACCACCTATCTGGAATGCAGGGGAGCCTGACCCCGTAACATGCCCTTAATAATACAATCATTCTTCTCGGCTACTGGTTTGTCTTATGAAATGAAATGAGATTATTTCTACACTATCATGTTTATTTGAATACTTCTCTCTGGGCGCCCAACATAAGCAGAATGATGAATGCTAGCATATCCCCTCTTTTAAGAGGCTATTTTCATTAAAATAACCATCCCTGAAGAGACTCAATTGGTTCTTGTGACCCATACTCAGGTAGACTTTAAAATGAGGTGAAGAACTCCTGGTGGAACTATATTTTCTTGGAGAGAACATAGACATTGGAGAAGTGGAGCTAAATATAAAAGTGGTTTTTCTTTTTGAGTAGGAACTCGGTGTTGTCCAGGCTGGAGTGCAGTGGCATGCTCACGGCCACCACAGTTTCAACCTGCTGGGCTCAGGTGAGCCTCCTGCCTCAGCCTTCCATGTAGCTGGAGCCACAGGCATGCGCCACCATGCCCGGCTAATTTTTTGGTTCGTTGTAGAAGCAAAGTCTCACCAAGCTGCCCAGGCTAGTCTTGAACCTTTTGCCTCTGCATCCCAAAGTGCTGGGATGACAGGCATGAATGAGCCACCGTGCCCCGCAAGTAATTTTTCAACTAGAGAATCTACATATTAGAAGGGCCACTGCCCAGGACTCAAACATGTCCTGCCAAGTTCCTCAGTATCCTGACTCCTGGACTGTTACTCTGGTTGTTCAGGCCAAGGTAAGCTGCTAGTGGGTGTGACAGAGAAAGAAGAATCGCTTTAAGGAATTGGGTATGGCTAGTAAATATAAATCTGATCCCCAGAGAGGGCAAGGGTGGACTCTTTGTAAGAAGCTAAAAGGAAGGCCATGTGCTTATTTCTGGGAGGCAGAAGCCCTGAGCCAGCTAAGATACTCTAACAGAAACATTTTCCCCCTAGCAACACAACTGCAAATCACTTTTATCCCCCCTAAGTTAGAGTGGAGAACTGGAAAAGTCAGAAGAATTGGCTTTAAAAACATTATGTGAGAGGTCTAAAACAGTCTTTTTTGAAATCCTGGGCCAAGGTAATTTGGCCTTCAAATTAAAAACTTAATGAACCGTAAACAGTAAGCCTCAGCTTCTTGTGACAAGACAGGATATATTCTCAACTCCAAGGCCCATTTTCACTTCCCAAATTTGCAATTCTAAAATCCTGCTTACTCTTGTTTAGGAAGTTCCCTAGACCATTATTGGGGAAACTTCTGGAACTCAACTAATATAAAAGAAGTGAACAGCCTGGCATGGATGAGTCAATTGCCTCCCATCTGTAATTTCAAGTACACCTTATAGTACAGTGGAAAGCCTATGATTCAGTCATGCTTGATCCCACTGTCACACTTGTCCTTGGTTTACAACAAAGCAAAAAAGAGGTAGTGAACTTATCTTGGTCTCAATACTACACTTTCATGGCATTATTATGCAACACTTAATGACTTGCCTATGTTTCCCTGATGGCAGGTAGTTACTAGAAGGCCGTATCTGCGACTTAAAATGTCAAGACCGAGTGAGTCTTTTTAGTTCACTATTTCTTTCTCAGTTAAAGCAGTCAGATTTTCTGCAATAATATTTGCACATCTCACAATGCATAATGGAAACATTTCAGGTTTTCCTCACGCACTGAGCCATGAAATCTTTACCATCTTTTAACTACAAAAGTGAAGCTTTAGTGTTACTGCAATGTGGGACATAATTATATTTCTTCTGAATTTGGTTTCCATAGATGGGCGTTAGGCCCTACCCAGAGGATTTCTGTGCCCTTACCCTCGGATTTTTGTCTCCACCCCAATTCCAACTTCAGAAGTCAGTCAGAGAGCAGATGAATCTAATCTCCTGACATACCTGTGCAATTCCAGAAAACAAACCTGGAATAATAATTTAACCCTATTTTTTTTTTTTTAGTCAGAGTCTCACTCTGTCGCCCAGGCCAAGAGTGCAGGGGCATTCTCACTGCCACCCCTGCATCAACCTGCTGGGCTCAGGTGATCCTTCCAAGGAGCCAGAACTAAAGGCACGTGCTACCAGGCCCAGCTAATTTTTTGATATATTGTAGAGACGGGGTCTCCCAAGTTGCCCAGGCTGGTCTCGAACCCCCAGGCTCAGGCAATCCTCTTGCCTTGGCCTCCCAAAGTCTTGGGACTACGGGCTTGAGCCACCGCGCAGGGCCTTACACACCTCAAGTTTTTAGCCAGATTGTTTTTTGCTGAGTTCATGAGCTACAATACTTTCCGGGCAAAAATATTTTCTTGCAGAGTCAGAAGAAACAAGGAAGCAGTTGTGGAACATTCCCAACTCAGTCGCTTGCTGCCTCGGCCTGCTCCCAAGACCGATCAAAGGCAGGACGGTCACACCAAAGTAGAGAGAAAGGGAAGAAATCGCTCATTCTCACCTCAGTAAATCGATTTCTAATCGCCCCAACGCCACTCCGTCTGGCAGACTCGGCAGGAGGCAGCTTATCTCCTACAGCAAAACCAAAACAAAGCAGGGAACGGGAGTCTTAAGATCCAAGGCACCCGTCGGGAGGACGCAGCCGCTGTTTGCCTTCGGGCCACACGGCCGGCGCGTCGGCCGAAGCGCGCAGCCGAGCGGCTTTAGGCCGGCGCGCGCGGGGCTCAAGGTCCAGCGGCAGACGCGGCTCTGGGCGGCGGGGGCTCCGGAAGGGGCCGGACGACGCTCGGGCCCGAACGCGCCTCGGCAGGAGGGCGCGCTCGGGGCCGCGTGGTCGCGCCGGGGACCCCGCCGGCCTTCACGCCAAGGACGGCGCACCTGTGGCTGTCCCTGGGCCCTCGTACCCGTATGCCGGTTGCTGCGTGCTGTGCAGAAACCCCCTTCGTTACCCGCGTTGGAAGAAAAGGAAGGGTATTGTGACCTGGGAGCCAGCGAAGCTGGACTAGAGGAGAAACTCTAGAAAACAGAATTTCGGTCTCTTCCAGAGACCATTCTTTCTGTATTCCTTAATCTCAAGAACATGAAAAATTAGCATTTTGCGTTGTGACGTGTAGGATAGTAGCATGTTTGTATCCTGCTGCCCAGGAGTCAGTGCTCCAAAATTTACTTTTAAAAATAACTGGATGATTACCCTTCAGAGTAAACGGATACGCAGGGCACGACTCAAGGTGCCCTTTGGCCGCCACAGGACACTGGTATTTTTTCCAAGAGAGAAAGCAGACACCCCATCGACCCGGTTTTTGAGGTGGATTAAGTTTTATTAGCAGCCATCCAAGATACATAAAATAGGCTGGACACAGTGGCTCACACCTGTAATCCCAGCACTTGGAAGGCTGAGGTGGGAGGATTGCTTAAGGCCAAGAGTTCAAGACAAGCCTGAGCAACAAACTCAAAAAATAAAAAATAAAATAAGCTATCGATTGACTGTACGTTGTTTTAATGAAAGAAAAGACCTAAAAAGTATATAAAATATAGCATAATAAAAAGTACTGATTATAGTTGAGGAAAATGAGATAAAAGAGAATAAGCATAAGAAATTGTACAGAATTAAGGTAAATATGAGAAAACATAATACTTCAAATCCTAACATTGCTAGAGATGGCTGCAAATTTGACTTTAAACCAATGTGGTAGGACAGGTAGCAGCTATGGGAGTCCTAACATCTAAACAGTGTTTCCTAAACCAGTAACATAGAAACTCTTTTCCACTGAAAAAAGATTGTTTTTGTAGATCCTCAGAATGACTTATATTAAAATATGGCGCTATATATATGCATAAAACTAGATCTATATGCTGATAGTTCTTACACAACTATAAATTAATAAACTTACAGACAAAATGACTAGAAAGAAAATGAGAAGCCAGGCTCGGTGGCTCAGCCTGTAATCCTGCACCTTGGGAGGCTGAGGTGAGTGGATTGCCTGAGCCTGTGGGTTCAAGACCCACCTAGGCAACTTGGTGAGACCTCATCTCTACAATAAATCAAAAGTAAGCCAGGCATGGTAGCGTGCGCCTGTTGTTCCAGCTACTTGGAAGGCTGAGGTGGAAGGATCGCCGGAGCCCAGCAGGTAGAGGCTGCAGTGGCCAGGAGTGGCCACTGCACTCCAGTCTGAGTGACAGAGTGAGACTCCAACTCAAAAAAAAAAAAAAAAAAGAAAATGAGAAAACAATGCATTGCCATTAATGCCGATTAAACGTAACAAATGGTGTCTGGTTGAAATTAAGCTCCTTCTTGAAATGTGACTAATGAAGCTCACTGCCTACATGCAGTTTCTTTGTATTTAGCCGGCCTAGTCTCCTGGATGCCGTGTGATGGTTCATGTAGCCTTAACATCATTTGTCTTCCATTTGGCCTGTAAAAGAACCCGAGTATTTTAATATTATCTGGCCCAAAACACTGTTGCAAACACAAAGGGCAATGTGGGCCGTGTAATTTTTGTTGTGTGTGTCTGTGTATAGTGACTCATGCCTGCAGTCCCACCACTTTGGGAGGCAGGGGTGAAAGGGCTGCATGAGCCCAGGGGTTCGAGACCAGCCTGTGCAGTTGGCGAGACCTCATCTCTACAATACATCAAAAATTAGCTGGGCATGGTGATGCATGCCTGTAGTTCCAGCTAGACGGAAGGATTGCCTGAACCCGGCAGGTAGGGGCTGCGGTGGCCACGAGTGTGCCACTGCACTCCAGCCTGGGCGAGAGGAGACCTCTACTCAAAAACAACAAACAGACTTTATTTCTTCTTGATATAAAGAATAAAGTACAGCCACAGCGCCCATTGGCCTTGGTGTGCTGGCCTTGGACGTGAAGCCCCAGAAGTGGCGTAGCCCTCTGTGGACCCAAATCCTCCTGTCTCTCTGGATCGTCACAGAGTTTGTTGTCCAGACCACTGGCCAAGGTCTGGCTGTATTTTCCATCCTTTCCATTCTTCTGTCTGTTTGAGAACCAGTCTGGGATCTTGACTGGCGTGGAATCTGCATCACGGTGACCTCACGTTCCACCTCCTCCTCGGGGGGTTCTCCTGCTCTCTTGGTGAGGGCAACGTCTGCTTTCCTCAACACCACATGAGGTAACTTTGACCCGTGCCTTTAGCGGAAGTGATAGCAAAGGCTGTTTTCCACCACGCATCGACGTTGGTGTCGAATACTTGCATGATGTGCTGGAACTCCTCAAGGATTATTAGCAACATGGTGGTGGCACAAGTGTGGCATGTAGGCCTCCTGTGGAAGAGTGGCATCGGTTTTGAGACACTCGTCCAGATAGCAGGGGAGTCTCATCAACATTCTAAGGTGGCTGTATCTTCATTTCGATGGTCTCAATAAAATGAGGTAGAATGGCGGGGCACGGTGGCTCATGCCTGTAATCCCAGCACTTTGGGAGGCGGTGGCGGGAGGATTGCTTGAGGCCAGAAGTTTGAGACCAGCCTGGATAACATGGTGAGACCTCAGCTCCAAAAACGAGAAACGAACTAGCCGGGTGTGGTGGTGCATGCCTGTAGTCCCAGTTACTTGGGAGGCTGAGACAAGAGAATCACTGGAGCCCAGGAGGTTGAGGTTGTGGTGAGCATGATCATGCCACACTGCCCTCCAGCCTGGGGAACAGAGTGTGACCCTGACTTAAAAAAAAAAAAAAGGGGGG